ACAGCATTCGTCAATTAGCATCAGGAAGGGAAGAAAGAAGGAAATTGCAGCACTTTTGCCATTGATTATGATTCTTGGCCATATCCGATAACGTTTCGAGCTTTCTCTCGGACTCCAACCAATGAGACGTGACGCACCAACCAATGCTAACCTAGCACAAATATCCTTCATCCCACGACGCCACGTCATGGACTGACCACCTTTTCCATTCCGTCCCAGGGCTAGCGAACATGTACGGAAGCCTCTGGGATGACATTCGCAGCACATGTCCAAACCACCGAAGCCAGTGTTTCCAGATGACGACACTCAACAAATGGTGACCACTGTGTTCAAACACACGCCACCGAGCCTCAGAATTACTCACGCGATGATGCCATCGAACGCAAGCAATCCTGCGGAGACAATGATGATCGAATACGCAGAGTCGCCGCACATTTTTAGCTCGGAGAGGCCAGGTTTCACAGGTGTAGAGCACGACAGCTCATACCAAAGCACTGTATACTCGACCTTTGTCAGCCAGGCTAACGTCGCGACGGCGCCAGAGGTGGCTGAAGTTGATGTATGCCACCCTAGCCTTCATGATACGGTTGGAAATCTCATCCGTCACCATTCCGCCAGCACTCATACAACTACCCAGATACACAAACTTATCGACAACTTCAAGCGGTTCACCTGCAAGAGTGAGTGCAGGTACAGGCTCCTGCCAATCTTGTAAAAGTACTTTGCACTTAGACGGTGCAAAGCACATACCATTCTTACAGAAACTGATCGCCAACTGATTAAGTGCGATTCGGGTAGCTTGCATGCTATCGCACAGTAAGACGATATCGTCTGCATACTCGAGGTCGAAAAGTCTATCTGCAAGGAGCAGATCTACACCACCTTCACGAACATCCTTCAGAGCTAACTCCAGAATGTCATTAATGGCAAAGTTAAAGAGAAATGGAAAGATCGAGCAACCCTGTCTAACCCCACTGTTGGTTGAGAACAGTGATGATAGTTGGTTGTATGCCCTCACTCTACCTGAGGTGTTTCTGTATAGGGCTTTCAAGATGTTAACAAACTTCTCAGGTACACCCCCTCTCTAACAGACAGTTGCAGAGCACAGTTCTGCCCAACGAATCGAAGGCAACCCTAGTATCAAGAAACACAACGAGTGTTGGCCTGCAATACGTGTGACGGTGTTCCAACAACTGACGAAGGGTGAACACATGATCAATGCATCCACGACCTGAACGAAACCCAGCCTGCTCTTCACGAATCAATCCTTCACGTGTTTTGTACAGCCTACGGAGCAAGACAGCAACCAATATTTTAGACGCAACTGGTAGCAGACTAACACCCCTATGGTTGTCACATGAATTACGTCGACCTTTCTTAAAGATGTGGACGATAATGGCTTCGTTCCACATTGATGGTACACTTTCTGTCTGCCATATCTTCCTGAATAAACCAGTTATAGCCATTGCGAGAGTCTCACCACCATCTTTAAAAAGAGCCGGCAGTAGATTGTCTGGGCCGGGTGCCTTATGGCGTTTTAATACTTGGAGTTTCTTACGGACCTCCACTTCGGTTGGTGGGTCGGTACCAACAGACCAAGGAGCACTGGAGCTAGAGACAACAGATACTGAAGCTGGTGGCCAGCTAAACTATTTCTCGAAGTGCTCTGACCAGCGTTCCAGGAGTCTTTTCAAGCTGGTAATTGGCGTGCCATCTGCCTCACAGACCGTCTCCCTGACACCTTGTTTCTTGCTGCCGGTGGCTCGGATGAGCTGGAACAGCTTCCGACTGTTTCCAGATGTAGCAGTTGTGAGTCCATCTCACACGCATGTTCTGACCAGCAGGTTTCGCGGTCCTTACGTAAACAATGTCTAATCTTGCGCGTAAGCGCCTTTCGCTTATTGTTGTATTCGCTGCCAGCGGGAATGGACCGGCGTTCATCCAGGAGTTGCGAGGAAATCGCAGAAACCCAGTGGTTTTTAGCGGAGCATTCTTTCAAGCTGCAAGCGGTTACACTGGCCATTTGCATGGCACCTTGCAGATGAAACCTAAGTTCATCTACACTACTGCTTGCAAGCATTGATTGCAACTCATTCTGGTATTTCAAAGAAGTAGCAGGTGCTACTAGTTTGTTCGCATCAACGTTTAGACGGCACCTTTTATGAACCCCACCAAATCGCAAGACGAATCTGGCACACACTAACGCATGATCGGAGTTCAGGCATGTGCTCCAGAAGGAGCGGCAGTCTTGTATGCATCCTCGCCACCGGAAACTGACAGCAATATGATCGATCTGAGTCCAAGCTTGATTCGCAGAGGGAGGACACCAGGTAGCGCTACGGCGAGCGCTGTGCCGGAAGTTGGTACCGGCGAGAAATAGGTTGTGATTTGCGCAAAGCTGCAGAAGACGGTCCTCATTATCTGACCTGCGACCATGTAAGCCTCATTGACCACCTAGACGATTCTCCTCTGAGCTTAAACGCCCGATCTGTGCATTCAAGTCCCCAGTCAGCATTACGATATCCCTCCAACCCGCCTGTTTCAAGAGATCGTCCAGTTGGTAGTAAAACTCATCCTTTATTGCATCCAGGCTGCAGTCCGTTGGTGCATAGGCAGAGACAACAGACACCACCTATCTGGCCTACCACTCCTTACTTTCGTATAACCTTCCAGCCTCACGGTACATAAACGACTGTTAGTGGGGATCCAGCCGAGCAACGCAGCTTTTGCTCTAGTGCTTAGTGCGACACCGACACCAGCTACTCCGGATGCCGACGCCACAGGGTCCGCGGACAAGCGCAGATGGTACCTACCACTAGAACTTTCATATGGAGAGGATAACCGAGGCACTTCACTGGGATGTCGAATGCGGGTCTCCGATATGCAGCAGACATCGATAACGAGGCTTTCCAGTGTTCTCACTAACCCTGCCCGTTGTCTGATTTGCATCAGAGTCCAAACATTGTAGGTGGCCAGCTTGAACGCGGTACGAGGTTTCAGGATATGTGTATTAGGTGTCGCATCGGGGACAACCATTTTGAAGGCTACTCACTATTATCTCGGAACGGCACTGATAGGCTGGGGATTCTGAAAAAGGCGAAAGGCTGTCGAAGGTGAAGACGTCAAGGTTAGCAAAGGTAAAATACAGGAGTCTATGTATAAAAATAAAAGTAAGGTTGGAAAATGATGTTACTTGAGACATCATTATTGCTTGAAAGGATTGTTACGAGAGCGCGATAAGTTTCACTGGTAATTTGTTGCTTCATTTCATTTATTGTTTGAGGGCTGAGATACTGCCCGGACGCCCAGACCGAAGCAGGTGGTTTTCTTAAGGGACCACTCCCGAGCCTTTGACTTGGAGTCTAATCCGCAAGGCAGCGGAGCAGCGTCAGGAGCTACGTTCCCATGGTTGCCGGTGACCAATATAGGTTCATACGCCATTTGATCGGATTCGATTCTGGAGTCCATGTACCCCATGGTAAGTGCTTTTAGTCTAACCGCTATAGAAACAACTTTCCTGATATGGTAGGACCCGCAGGAATACGAGTCCCAGCAAGTTTAGCTTGTTGGGTCACTGCGGTATTCACGCCCGACCATCACAAGATAGCAGTTGTCGGTGGGCTCATGTATATTGATCTCCGACTGTGCTAAAACACTATTCACGATAAAATATTTCCAAATTCCAAAAATAACATGATATTAAAGGATATAAAAACTCTACTTTAGTTTTACATATTAATCTATGTAATGCATAGATTACACGGTGGAACAAAATTACATCTACTGGATGATATTTGGAATATAATTTATTCATCGTGATTAAATAATAATGTAACCCCACAAATTTCAAAATTAATTTTAATACTTTAAGTTCCTTATTTCCATTTTCTAGTATGAGTACTGGAGTAGTACAGATATCCTGAATACGCGCTGACTCATCCCTACTACATATGTTCTCAGCTGGTTCGATAACACAAACCTCTTGTTCTCAGTCTATCTCCATCTCTCCAACTTTTCATATTAAATCATTGCGTTGCATCCCTTTTTAACAACAATGCATGATATGATATTGATACTGGCAATGAACGCATGGAAGCTATGCCATAATATACTACTGAATACTGTAGAGTAAATGAAAACCAATACGACCAACCCATAGTCCTCAAAATGATTAATGATAAGCGTTAAGTAAACTAACCACATTTCCATAATTCTCAAATCGCAGACAATCTTCTTCAAACATAAGAGATCAGACGACATTTTTGCTCCACCACATCGATCTAATTCACAAGAACTGGTGAATGGTGCCCATAGTGTTCAATTACTTTGTCACTCAAAAGTATAACACCATGAAGGGCTGAGTTAATAACATAAAACTCTTTATAACAACGACGCAGTTGGCATCGAGCCACACCTGTTGTGTGAAGGCTAATGGTACCGCCTGGTTTCCCAAACCTGAACAGGTGGAGTGGGTTCCGGACCCATGACAGTGGTTAGAAGCTAAGTGTTTAGTCCGACGAGTAATATACCATCACATTTTATAAAGTTGTATTGATCTGCATTAGTGAAAATGTTGGGAAAGCAAGGGAAAATAAAATCATAATGAAAAAAACATTAGATTAATGAATAGTAAGAACAGAAATTAACCCAGTAGACACACATGATGGCAAGATCTCCAATATAATGTACAGAAGTGACTACTGTCATGCAGTGAAACCTGGATGACGATAGATTTGATACACTTGACTGTGAAATTCAATACAACCGAAAGACAAATTATCAGACTTGATAAAGTGAGTAAATTTCTCTCCATACAATTATTGAACAAGTGTTATTATAACACATATGTATCAAGTCCACCATTACTGGAAACATCATTGCTTCCATCTCACGCATAGGACGTGTCACCTAAATACAGCATTCTGTTGATAAACACTAAAGCACACACAATTATACAACTGATATTATTGAACATAAAGCTATAAGGGACAAAAGCTTACCTGATTTTTAGACTTTCGTGGATCTTCCCATGTAGTAATCTTATTGATGTGATCAATAAAATATGGGAAACCAGTGACACTGTCATAACCAACTGACCATCCAGGTGGTAAGCCTTGTGGATCCATAATGAATTACAGTTTTGAAAAGTAGTTCACACAAACACGCGCAGTATAGTCTGTTTACAATCAATTAGAAGTGTATTTTTGCATAAACTGACGAAAACAAGTCCAATAGGATTTACGCAACGCTCCACAGTGCAATCTATATAACCTAAAGATGCAAAACAACACAAGTAAACCTTCAATATGGTTGACTTGTGCATCAGAAAGAATTTCTATTACTTTGAAAAAATAAGCACGGATGAAGTTGGCCTTCATATTAGACGTGCAGTTCAATGTCTAGTGTATACTATGAATAGATTCGTATGAAATCTGCATTCGATGTGCTAACAATTTCTGTAATACTTTGGTGAAATGTACAGAAATTCAGGTCGAACTCCATATTCATGCTACAGATGGTGAATCACACTTACTGTGTACAAGCTAATGGTACTGTCCCATTACCTAGAGCTCGGTATTCAGGAAGAGATTTAAATAAATGCGATCTACTCATTTAAAGGTAGATGTTACGAGAATTGGTCCAAAGCCCAGCTTGAAATAAATATACATATATTTCAAATTTTGGATTTTTTAAGACGATAACAAAGGTTGTTGCCTGAATGTAACTGTATGGATCGAAGTCTTTCGATTACACACTGTTGTGTAATTCTTGTTCACCTGTGGAAAACTCTACTTAACTAAGTATTTCTTCGAAGGCTCCAACCTACCACTCATTAGTAAGAAAACCAACGCATAGAACTCAGCGCCTCTCAAAATAACACCACTAACCCAAGCCGAAATAAATGTCCAGTTCTCTATGGCTCTCGTTGATTCTTTAACACGTCGGTTCATGACAAAATCTAACTCAAAATCAATCAAATCCCTGCAAACGATAAAATCTGTATACCGATTTCCTGTTTATTAGTCCCTACACGATAGATGTTGTGATGTCCTAGTGAGATGTATTCACTCCTTGCTATTTTTCCAGATTTATTAAAGCTTCATTATTCGTTCTCCCGAACATTTTCGTGAATTATAGTTCCTTTGCATCTCCTTTTTCTGTACGTTAATGTGAACTTTTAAACAGTACTGCACTTTATTGATAAGTTCAACGTTGAAGCCATATATATATATATGCATATATAAAACAAAAAAGCTGATGAAAGGAGTCCATCAATCTATACAACTGATTTGCAGCTACAACCAAATGAAGTTATAGTGCACTACATCGCAAACCACATCTATTGTGACTGGATTAGTGGAACTGTTTGGCTGTTTGAATTCCTAAATTAAGGTTTTGAATCTGTTGTCGAGATGTTATGGATTAGGTGCTATTAGACAACTGAATCTACAGGTTACTTATCAATAAACCTAGTGTCTATATAAGCGAAGTGTATGCTGAAATTCGCAGCTCGATATCGTCGCTCCGGACGACTCCTTGGGATTTTGCATAATCCTATTTTGTCATGCTAATTGCATCCTAGCAGTAATCAAACCACTGCGAATTAAATAACAAAAGTAGTATTAGTAGTAGCAGCAGTATCTGTAGTTGAAATACAAATGCCATATTGTAGACTACAGTATTAGTGCTCCATCTCTAAACGATGTATTAAAAAAATTTGAGGGACATTTACAAAACACAAATAGTCAGCTCGAAAATCGCTTACCCGAGAGAAATAAAGTGATACCGGGATTCGCAATCAAGCGCGGAAACAGAAAGGAGAACTACTATCCATAATTGAGAAAATAAACCTCAGCTCATATATCTAGCGCAGTGGGAACTAACTCTAGCGTCTGAAAAGAAACAACAGTTCATTACAGGATAAAAAATTATCCGTAAATTTTAAAAAGAGATGCTGCCGAAATTTCCAGTAAAAAAATGAAATTACAAATTATTAGGAAACTAAGTATACTGACTGGCCAGAGTTTGACCAAAGACAATTAAGTTGAGGCTTTAATAACAAATGCCCAATATGAAATTTTTCATAAGCATTTATGTGGTACGTACTATAAGGAAAGACTAAATTTCAATACAAAGTTCCTCCCTAACAATTTTAAGAGACTAATACAAATATATGATACTAGCCTCCATGGCAGAATCCAAGTTAATACTTCGACGACCTAATTACATATATAGAAATTTAAACATTTGCAGTAACTAGGATGGATTGGTGAAACACCTATATGTCTACCAGTGGGTTTAGAATAAGTTTGGATAAGAGAGACGTTAGACATCCCTAATGGACGTACTAGTCACTATTTTATACAGCAACTGCCCGAAAGCTCTTTAATGATCGTATAAACACGAGCAGTATATTACCGAGAGAATTTCTCAGGATTTCCAACCAAGCACTTATGCTGTTAACGTAGCTATTTGCGAGTGATGTTAGGGTTTGGGGAGTTACTCACAACGATGAAATTAAGTCAGGATTCCCTATGAACAGAGATGAATTGACCGATTGGTCTCGAAGTCGAACTCTGTGAGGCGATTCCGTTGCAATCATCAACCTCTTTTTTATTCAGTGAACAGGTCACCATCGCCATGGATTATGGAACTCAACATCTTAATGTTTTCTGTCCCAACTTGGAAAAAGTAAATCTAAACGTCACTAAGTGTGAAGCACACTAAGCTTTAAAGTTACTTTACAGAAGCTATGAATGCTTCGACAAAGGTAACGTTCAGGGTACCGTATCTCACCAACGTAAGGTCTTGTTTGAATAAAAGCTGTATTTATACACATATGTACAGTATCCTTGTGACCAGCTTCTACAAACCACCTGAATTACTGTCGCTCAATCAGTGTTTCGGTAGGGTTCAAGACCTACCTAGATTCATTATCTCTAGTCTATCTTTTTCACTTATTAGACCCATAAAGTCACTTCTAAGTGTCAGTCGTGATTTGATTGGTTGGAGGATTTCATTATGAGCCGACATCAGTTAGTAAACCAATAGTGATTTAATCACACACCTAAATTAGACGTATTTCCTTATGAATTTCTACTGAGTGAACTTTCGAGTATCTTTAGGGACACATGCAACTTAAGAATAAGGTAAATGAGCCATTAAATAGGAGCCATTTAATATCCCAAACAAAAAGTCTCTCTACTTGCCAGCTCTCCACAAGGTTACCTAGATCCTTCGAGTGAGAATATACGTTATAGAGTGTTATATCTTACGCGCTTAAGGGCTTTCTCAGCTTTGATTGGCTAGTACAGTGGCGGAGAGTTTGACTTAAATTTGTCCTCGGTAGGTCATGCCGTGTGCAGGTTTTCGTGGTTGCGGCATGCGTTGTTTGCAAGCATGTTTGATGAATATAAATGTAAAATATTGGTATTCTAACGTTTTATTTTACTTATTTTGTGCATGTACCAGGCTTGGTTTATCATACATTCTGTTTGTTGGCCTATCGGTTGCTGGCGATGTCAAGGAATCCGTGAGTTCGAGGGCTTTTCTCGATTTTAGGTTATACATGTAGCATTTTATTGATGGATATTGCGACACAGATGGATGCTAATTGACAACGCCTTTTTAGTTTATTGCAGGTAGGCAATGCGGGTGAAAGTACTGCTGACGTCAGTGGAATTTTCGATGAAATTATGCTGGGAAGGCGTTTCTTTAGTTGGGAGGAATTTGAGAATTCCTTAGGAGAATTTCAACAAGTGAGGAAGTCATTTAATGCTAACAATGTAGTTGTCCTGCACTCACTATGTGCATATTCAAAGCAAAACAACAGGGGACGACAGATATAAGTACGCTTACGTTTATTTTAAATGCACTGACTGACTTGACCGAACATCTACAAGTAAATAATAAAGTATAATTTTTAAATCGTTGAAGTTAGAAATAAGTAATGTAAAAGTGAAACGCTTCATATTCTCCTACCTTTGCTGAAAAAAAGTTCATTGTCCTTTCTCATTCTTTGGTCATGACAGCATTCTTCTGCGGTTTTCACTGTGACATACATTGTTCTTCTTCTAAAGTATAGCACCAAGCAAATAATACCTTAATATACTGTATAAATGGGTGTTTACAAGGAATGCATGACATCTCTACAGGTACAATAAGTTAGGCTATAAATTACAATCGTGAAGTATCGCAAATTAAAACTTTTTCAAAAGCTTACATTGTTCATTTATTGTACAAGCAATTACAACAGATTACAATAAGAGTTAAACTCCGGACCCTTTACAATGAACACTGCATATATATCGGTAAGTGCTATTCCCTCACACAATTAAAAGGTATTCCAGGAGGAGAACAGCATCCTGAGAAACTGCAGTACTGTTTTCTAGTTATTCCGAAAATATTCCTTTGATGCTGTTTCTTAGCAACAGTTTGCAGTATTCATAGTGACTTTAGAGAAAACTTTATCATATCTTCACTTTCCCTTCAAGTACAATAGCATGCAGTAACTACATACACACAAGCATTGTAACTTAAACATAACAAAATCCCTACAGATAACTTGTTTCATAGTAAATGCTTTTGAAACATGAGCCATAAGTACACCTTCCATGTCATTCATAGTCACAAGTAATTCATTAAGCATCTCAGAATATGTTAGTGATGTGAACATGAAAAATTCGTAAGACTGATATAACTGAAGTAACACGTTTAGTAGTTGTAGGACATACCTGCGAGCTACTATTCTACAGAAAGGTGATTCGAATTTGAAGCAGTCTGGCATTGTAGAAGCACCATGTATACTATTCTTCTGGCACAAATGCACAATGATATCGAGATAATCTGATGCAATGTAATGCACTCAGCAATTACGGTCTCCCGAATTTCTATGTGACAATGTAAATTAAACTAGTATCACATCTTCAACTGAGCCATTTAAAATAGGAACTTCAGAGAAATGGATAAAATCACCAGGAAATTCAGCAAATTGCCTCATTCATCGCATACTCTCTTCGATGTGTTATGGAATATTTCAATCATCACGGATGATGATAAAAAAGTGTTTGGTATCCTCAAAACGTATATTTCACGTGTGTCTGTGGGCTAGTTCTCCTTCAAATGT